CAGCAAAAAAAAACACGGGTTCCGCGAGTCTGCACCGGAAGTTGGGGCAACTTGCATAAATTTTAGTGCGGGCCTTGGGAACCTAAATAGCTGCTACTCTTGCATCTCTTTGGCCTCAGCAAACCCCCTACAACCTCCAACATATGCGGTGCTTTCATGTCATGCGGCAGACGACCGGTCGCACAACCCAGGAACAGAATGCTGTTGCAGAAAAGCTGCGCCAGTCGGAGCTGACACTAGAACCTGGCTTGCGGCAGGAAGGCAGCACCACTGGGAGGGGAGGGACGCAGTCAGTAGCGGCCCAGGCACCTGACAGCCGATGCAAGCATTGAAGCGCCGGTGAAGCCGAGCTGCACGTATCAGCTGCACCTCAAGGATTGACTTCAACCAGCACTCGCTCCAATCTGGCGGACATGCTGAGGCGGGAACGTCTACGGAGCTCGGGACAAACGGAGTCGTGATGATTTGCCAGTGTGCGTGCACGATGCTTCCGCATTTATGTTGCTTGAACACCTTGGATGCTCGGAGGGCAGGGCTACGCAGGACTCGCAGCCGCAGCATAGAAAGCAGCAGGTCACATCCCTTGTGTCAAGATGCCGACACATATCGCACCAGCGGATTTTGCATCAGCTCCCTCCCACGGATGACAATCGCACGCAGGGTAAGGGCGATGGACCTCTGCTCCAACAGTTGCTTGCAAGAACATGAGCTTCAGCTTCTTCAGGCTTTGCAGCTTCAAGCTTCTGTTGCCTGTGTACAGCCCTGTACCTAATTGCCGCCGTGCATGGCTTGCACAAATCTGTCAGCATTATTCAGTGCGATATGTTAGACCCAAGCGAGAAGCTCTTCCCTGTCCAGGGCTGCACACATGTTGTGCCACGGCGTTTCTATGACCACGTCGTTGAAGCCGACTCCGGGTACCTTATGGCAGCCATTGTGCCAGAATCGACGAAACATGTAGAAAGGTAGCATTCCAGGGTTTGTCTGCGAAATGGCTCCCCTCCATGCCTGGATGCTTGCAAGTACAGAGGATGCTCCACGGCAGGGTTTATCATGCTGCCAGCTGTGTCTTCCAGAAAACCTCCCTCATGGTCGTCCTCATAGAATTCTCGCGGCACGCTCATGCTGGGAAAGATGTTCCTGACCTGTGCAGCTGGAAGCTTATCATGAACAGCTTCGCCGCACGCATCCAGTCTCTGTTTCCTAGCCAGCTTCCAAGGCGCCACCCGAACTTGCCAGTGTCGAGAAGGATCGGGCCGTGACCAGTCCTTCACTTACTCAGTCCTTCACTTACTCAGGCTTGGGGATAAGGCCTGCAAATGGAATGGGGAATCAATGTTTGAAAAACATGAAATGACTGGCATGCGATTCCCAGAGTTGTTCCTTCGATTCGCTCGTCAAGGAAATCAGTAAAGAACCTAACAAGCGAAAAGAAAATGAAAACCAATGCCGGACATAGACGTGATGGGGCCTACCCATTTGTTCCTTTTTTCTGCTTTCCCATTTGAATTCAATTCTCTTTTGTCTCACGGTTGTTCAAGGGTTTCTTCGGGGTTCCTCTTCATTAGCTCAATGCTATTTACTAGTCACACTCTTTTCTTTGATATCGTTGTAGTTCTGAATCGTATGGGTTCAGGGCTCCGAGCTGATGAAAGACTGAAAGTATGCATGACGTTCACTTATCAGCTCCAGTCACTGAGTTCCCAGATGTGTGCCAAAGCCAGCAAGCCCAAAACCTCATAGACTACCACTACATTCTGGGCTATCCAAAAAAACGAAAAAAAGCTTCACGTTAGTTTTCTGGCAGGAGATGGCTGGAGCTGAGTACATCGGCAAGTTAGGAAAGCCAATACTGAATCGGGAGCATATGATGCACTGTTTATGTTTCTTATCCGAGGTAACGGTCATTGGAAAATGTCTGTGTGTGCGCGCGCTGTTGTTTTGCAAAGTTTTGTTTGGAGTAGAGATGTTGAGTACAACGTTGTCGTTTTTAGTCAGCGTGTTACCGTTTTCCAATCACAGCCGCTGTGCCTAAAGGGCAATTTCCAGCCTTGAACTCCACAGCATTTAGGGATTCAGGGGTACGCGGGCACGCAGGTGAGACATATCCCCAATGCGCATTATACGAATGCTGCCTGGACTAAATATTTATCTTGCTTGGCTGTTAGACACGCAGGAAACCCCATGGAAGCAATAAGAATAACAGGAATAGTAATAATGAATACTTTAGTAGTAGTAGTAGTAGTAGTAGTAGTAGTAGTAGTGGTGGTCCCGAACCAGCCGATGGCCAGCGTAGGTGTCGGCTGCCTCACTCCACTAACGTCATGTCGACAACTACATGTTAGGTGGATCTCCCACCCTGTAGTAGTTGTATACTAGGAATACAAGAGGGCCGTGATTAGTTACCATTATCCCTTATAGTCACTGTTGCACTTTTGCAGGGTGTGGGGTCCACCTAAACGACGTGCCCCTTTAGGAGTCGGAACAGGTAATGGTAGACATGCCGTTAGCCTTCTGCGGCCAGCTTGCATACCAAAAGTGATCTTTGAGAGCTTGCCATGTTGAAGCATACTCTGCCTGCAGCAGGCGGCCCCTTGCGGTGCTCAAAATGCAAGGCTCCATTGACCTGGCCAAACAGTCTGCTGCGAGCCTCTCCGTTCTTGAGCTCCCTGGGCACGCACAAAATCCGACTTCAAAGCAGCGTGAATCGTGAGACAAGCCGAGCGGCTCGAAGCGCAAGACGTCGGCAGCTTCAGAGGCGTGGCAGGCGCAGAAGGGGCATCCTTCGAGCTGATCGGGCTCTTCGTGTATGGGCCTCAGGTATTTGCATGTTCAGTCTATCCATAGCGGCAGGCGGTACCTGCCCAGAACTCTTTGATTGTAAGCTGGTATCATGCAACAACTCTAGATTCACGTGTAGCGAAACCGTGCGGTCATTCCGTCGAAAACCAGCTACATCAGCTCCCGGATGCTACCGTCGTATCACCTTTCAAGAAATACTCTGCGTTCTTCCAACTGCGCACAGGTGAACCCACAAACCGACTTTCAATTTTCTGTAATGCGAACAAGCCCTGAACCACTTTTCTTGCTAAGTCCAGAACTTCATCTGCACTTGCTTGCTCTTGCTCTCGGTTTGGCGTGGCTTCTTGTCATTGGAGGTGCCGAGCTGGAAATGAGCCCACTTGCCAGTCAGAATATCCTCAGGGGAACGGCCGTCTGTTCCTCTAAACTAATCAGCAACCATGCTTCCATGCATCCATGCTTGCATGGGAGGTCCCACAAGGCCTGGCGCATGAAGCACATTAAGGGCTTGTCGCCCTCAGTCGCCTCTGCAATCAACAAGAACACTGGCCATGATGACAGCGGCTGCAATGAAAGAGTACTTGCAGCAGAGTTAGTTTGGTCGTAATTCTGGTTGTGGTGATGATGGTGATGGACGCTAAGTGAGGAATGAACACAGTGTAGATCGGCTGAGCAAGCTTGCAAGGCTTGAAACATGACGCAAGGCTGAGTCCTGGCTTGAAATCAGTTCAGGCTATTAACTCAGCCCATATCTGTCACCCCAGGCTTGAATGGAATGGCCTGTTCCATCGAGAAAGCCCAAAAACACACTACGCAAACAGCTACAGGGGTACTCTTCCGGCAGATCTTATTGGGATTACTGCAGAGACCGTTACTCCACCATTCTCCATAACATCGCTCTGCCATTCCTGCCAGGCCTGGCGGGCTCGTGCCAAGCATTCCTGGTCTCCCAGCAACGCAAAATTTCCGCATCATTACCGCGCTACTGCGAGCAGGCTAGCAATACTTATACTGAAAGCACCGGCACTTGTCAGGCTTCATGAAGTTGAGCGATGTTTGCGCGAAGCAGGAATGGTGATTTACGTCTGAGCAGTCTGAGCCTGCACTTTCAACTGAACCCAAACCCAGTGTAGCTTATGATGCACAAGTTCATTCCCTCGTCCTTGGCGGCCCGGCGCGCAGGCTCCGAAAGTTGAAAGCTTGCCAGATCCTTCGGGTGCTGATCCCGCCATCCTCCATCTACAGCTGTACAATGCAGGAGCCGCACTATGTCCTTGGCTTTCTCCTGTCCACAGCATAGCCAGTATGGCAGTCGACGCCAAAAGCTCGATTTTGGATGCCCTGTTTCGCAAGAGCTGTCCAAACTATAAAGACCTGGCAGAGCGGCGAACCACCAAGTTCAGAGAAGCTGAAGACTTGCTTCATTAGGCTGAAGGTACAATGTCGAGTCTGGCAAGCTAGATTCTAGTCATGTTTTGGTGATGGTCCGTAGACGCAGTACAACAAATCAAATGCTGGAATTTGACCCAAGCCGATCCCCAGTCCAAGCCTAAGATTCGCTCCTCGTCGTGTTCATGGGTACACGTCGAGTTCGGTGACTCGGGGGCGCTTGTCAGGCTTCCTCAATCTAGGCTTCACACAGGTTGAAGTAAGGCCATTGTGCTGTTTTGTATTGGGAATCTTAAGTTCTTAAGCGTGACAGAAACAAACGGAATATAACGGAATCAAAAGAGGTACCCGGAATGTGCTTTAAGAAGCCAAGGACGTGCCAGGAAAGGAAGCCAAGTATCTCATCCGCGCTACCGCTTGCAGTGTCTTGCGTGGGCTTCTTTTTTCAGATGGCTCTCGCACCACCGCCTTCCTGGCTTTTGCCGTGGCAGCAGCCACAGGTAGGGGCTCCATGTCAGAGCTCCTTCCGGTCATTAGGACCGTAAGGTTACATGGTTCCACATAAAGAGGCAGACTAAAGCAGCGTAGACTTCTTCGGACAAGAGGGTGGAGAGTATTTGCCAATGTGGCCACTCTCACGGTGCGGGAAAATCCGTCTGCCTTTGCTGTTGCTACAGTTGATCCGCCACCTTCTCCTGCGAATTTCGAAGTGATGTATCTTTGCTGTGGCTGCTTCTCTACCAACTACGAACCATACGTCTAAGTTCCCAATGGGCGGGCACAAGGTCATGGGGAGCCGTGCATGTTTCAAACTAGCGCATTCTGTGTGTTGGCTCCGTGGAAGAGGACACCATGTCCCTCAGCCAAAAGAGCACGTACGATCGTCAGCATGAGCCATCTGTTTGTAGTTTTATTAAGTGAGCACCGCCAGAAGCAATTGAAACGTGGGCTGGTAATGCATTTTCTCCTCGACCACTTGCAATCCTGAAAACACTGGTTTGCTGCTGTAAATTGCAAAATGAAGCTTAATCGTCTTCTAAACTCCTGCCATTGACAGACCTATCAAATGCATAAATCAACCATGCTGGTAGCATCGCTACCACAATGCCCGCCAGCATCACCACAGACACCACACCACACCCACAATGACCAATGCTGCCGCTGCGGCGGCTACTGATACGGCTGCTGGTACCAAAGCTGATGTAAAGATTGTTCGGGCGACTTTGAAAGCCTGTATCTCACTAGTGGTAACCACGTCAAAGCCGCCGTCCCCTAGATGTCTGCAAAATGTTTCTTGAATTGTCAGCATGCAGAGCTTCCATGGGGTGGCCTGTTGCAAAGGCTGGAGCCCATCTATACTTGAACTGAATATCTGGGCACACGATGGTCTGCATTTACTCTCTAGGGCCACAGGGTCGCACCACTAGATTTTTCATCCGAAAAAACCGAAGCCGAACCCAAGAAGTTGGAAGCTCCACACATTTCGGAATTGGGGCGGGGTAGCATACTAAACCCATGGCAACGTCACGTGGCATGCGTTGCAACCAGCACTGGCGTTAGCCATGCTTGTGCGCTCTTGGGTGCTCTTGGCCTTTTTCAGATGCTTGCCGGCTAGACACGCTCACGAAAATCAGTCAGGCTCCGCTCTCTCTACCGCGGAAAGGAGGCCAAGTACCTCCAGTCCAGTGAGCGCATATTGCCGGGACCTGCGGCAGGTCAGGAAGAGACATCTGGCTAAAACAATACGGCGTCTCCCGCCTCTGCGCTGGTATCAGACCAAAATTTCAGCAGATGTGCAAGCGAAAGAAGGCGAACCCTTCGGGGACCGCAAGGCATCCAAGGCTTCCTTCTCCTCAGGCTGCTTTTCATAGCATGAACAAAAACACACCTCAGAAACGAGACGCTGTCTATATGTCTATAACTGTCAAGTCATGTCAAGGCAGAGCTTTTCCTTAATATTCTTCGCGCCCCTGCCCGCTCTCCTCCGGAGTGAAGTCCCACGACCACAGGTCCAGGTCGGCACTGAGGTGCTCGGAGCTGGCGGACTTGGTCACTGCAGGGATGCCTCCGAAACGGGGCTGGGCAGAGCAGTTCTTTCCAGCACTTCTCTCAGTGTTGCACTATGACTTCGCAACTTTGAGCGAGCAAACCGACACACCCCAAAACAACAGAGCACCTCGGGCAACTGCAGTTTCATCATCAATCATGGAGACACTGCGTGGGCCTTGTGACACGACCCACTTCAGAGCCACCTGCACAGAGCTCTTGCCATGCGCTTTGGCAATGCTTGTGGTCAGGTTGCCAGTCAAGATCTCTGGACCTAGCAGGAATGATCCGTGCAAAACCAAGCCAGACCAGTGTGCAGGATAGTCTTTTACAACTACAACTACAACAACAACAACAACAACTACTACTACTACTACTACTACCACCACCACTACTACTACCACTCCTACTACTCCTACTACTCCTACTACTACTACTACTACTACTTCTTCTTCTTCTACTACTACAGGTACCCGGCGGGGAAAAAGCCCAAGAAACAGAAACGCAATGATAGCAAACAATGGTATCAGAAGCTTTCCTCGCTGGGCACCAATGATATCATGATGATAATGACAGAATAATATCATGATGATAATGACAGTATGGCCCAAACAGACATAATAGTATCATGATAATAACGACAATATAGCACAAGTAGAGTCCGCAACATCTTGATAGTTATGACAGTGTACTCAGTGCAAAACCATCATGATGCTCGTGATGGCAGCAAGCTGCAAGTGCTCTGGGGTGTGAGCGCTTGTGGTTGAACATCAGTGCCACGTTAATCTTTCTAAGCTTCCATGCAGCTTCACATTTGACTATCGGAGTAGCGAGTTGGACGTGGAG